TGATTGCAGTTATTATGGGAATCATTGCATTGATTGCTACAGCAACAACTAATGAATGGCACTTCATAAAGAAATCCAAACCACTGAATTAATTAGAGACTGGCATAGACATTCAGAAGAACTTTGGACTGAAGAAAATAAAATTGATAATGAGATAGTAAATGAATTAGCTGAATTAAGGCAAGCTGTTCTATTATTAGGGGGTCACTTAGAAATTTTGAAGGAGCAGATAAAATTAAAATGTGAATGGAATGCTTCTTGTTACTGTATCACACCCTTAAGATTTAATGAAAGCAAATATGATTGGGAAAAGATTACGATGAATTTGTTGGGTTACCCTAATTCTTCTCAAATGGTTTTTGATTTACAGAAAGAAATTAAAGAAAATTTGCAAAAGAAAGCTACCTGATACGACAGGAATGGACACTGTGGGAAATCTAGCAGATACTATAGCCTCATTCAATCTCAAGAATCACTTTAATAGATTACTTATCCTAGCAGGTGTTGCCCTTATTCAAGCAATAGTAAATTTATTGGCTTTAAAATGTGTTTTGGTATACTTACATAAGATGGTAAGATATATAGAAAGATGGCTATAATTACTGAAAGACTGCATAACCCACAAGATTTTTTTTTATATATTTTTTTTTTATTTTACAATACTATTCAGTTCTACATAATAGCCACAGATTCCCTTGTTCTCTCCCTTCCTGCCCTCCTTCCGTTCCCCCCAGCCCAACCCCCATTCCCACCTCCTCCAGGTCAAGGTCTCCCCCGAGGACTAGGATCGACCTGATAGACTCAGTCCAAGCAGGTCCAGTCCCCTCCTCCCAGAAGATTCTTTTTTTAAATAAAAAGAGGATCTGTGCCTGCATTCCTGCTGAGCTGCACCTGGCCTGGCTCCAGAGAGGAGCACCTAGCCATAATCCATCTTTTGTTTAGCAGACACCTTTTGTTTTTCTTGTTGCCTTCTATGTGAATCTTGTCTGAGAGTCTCCTAAGGATACAAAGCCTTTGCAAAACTTGGCTCAGGAAACCCACAAAACCATGGTACTTGAGAAATTCAGGAATTTGCACTTGGCATTGTATTTTTGGGAGCTCCTTTCAGGTTGTTTTGAGCATATGGAAGTTGACTGGCTAAAGTGTAATAGAAATAAAAATGCATTAGGCAAAGGTAAAGTGCTCCAGTCCTTCCAGGCTGGATGCCCCCTGCACCCATTCTTAAGATGGCTCTGAGTCTTCTTTCCACAGAGCTGCATGAACCCACACACCCGTGTTATGACATACAATTACAATTCCCTGTAGCACTGGGTGGGTTGGTTCAGGGAGGCTTGAACTCCTCCTTAGTGGCTGGGGCTGGGGCAAAGGCCACTCTTCCCAAGGTCTCAATCATGGCTGTGACCATGCTGAAGTTGGAGAGATTGCTGTGTCCCATTCTTTACAAAATGACCCAAAACTCCTCAAAGCTGAGCTTCTTGACCAAATCATCCAATACCTAAGCTTAGGCTTCTCCCACTAGCTCTTTTAACTTAGTTTAACCTATTTGTAGTCATCTACATTTTACCTCAGGGTAAACCTACATATATAAGTTCTGTTATTCTAGAGAACCATGACCAATGTAGGGCTGAAATCAAAGGTCAGGGAGGTACAAAGAAGCGGTGTAATATTTGGGAAGGTAAGGATCATGAATAAACATGGTGGCTAATAGGGTCTGAGGTTCTAAGGATGTTCTAATGAGCTATTTCCTGGGATTGACTATAACCTTTTTATTTCTTCCCCTCAATTCAGCTCTGTAGAAATAAAATGGGGACAGTCCATGAGAGTGACCTAACACCACAGCACTCAGACAAATGGAGCAGACCCAGCTCCACACACATGACATTCCTGATGTCAGGGACACAGTCCACTGACCACTCCACTCCCAGATGGCAGGGCTTCTCGAGGGCTTCAATTGGAAGGAGCTAAGTGAGTATGTGGTGATACGGCTCTTCAACAGGTAGAAGCAACCTGGGCTTCTTCACAGGCTGGTTCCCAGGTGCTGTTAGCCCTGGTCTAGTTTATCTGAGTTCCTTTTGTGGCTCTACTCAGAGTCAGCTTTAAACCCTGTATCTTGGTCGTTGGTCTTAGTTGGGAATCCCTGTTGTCCATTCTTCTTGAGAAACTAGAGCCTAAGTGCTCCTGGGAACCCTCTAACATGAGGGAGAGCAAAGTCTGGAGGAGATGACACCTTTTGGAGGAGAGACAGAACCTGAATCCAAGGCTGAAGGAAGGAACTACCAGGCAAGGTGGATCAAGCTAACTAAGACCTCACATGTTGGCTGGGCCAGCACAGGGTCCTCAAGTGTTTCTGGGCATGAATTTTTTGTTGTTTACAGATCTTTTCTCTTCAAAGCCTAGACCCCACTAGGTTAAAATGTGAACATGGTAGAGAATATTCTCCTACCTCTATTCTTTAAGACAACCAAATTCCAGAGTTCTTCAGTGGTGATTAGTGGGCACAAATGTGAGCCATTGCCTCAAGGGGTTTTTACTCAAGGAACCCCTTATAGGAAGCACAGAAGGCTATGTAACAACTCCAGCCTCCTTTGGGAGCCTTCTGGATTCACAATGCACAATGACCTTCACAGGCATTCCCCAGTTAGCACCATCCCCTCCTCTGTAGTTTTGATGGGAAGGAAACATCACTACCTTAAATCACAGATAAGATACCATATTCTAGGGTAACTATTTATTGTAAGTTCACACAGAAAAGCAGTATGGATTCAGCAATGGGTTTTCAGACACTCATACTGTTGGTGATGCTGTGGTGCTGCTCCTCATGGCTGGCTGCCACCAGCAGCGGCCATGCCGACGGAGGAGAGTGCTGGAGGAGAGTCACCAGCCATAGTTACCTTTTTAGAGCTTTATTGGGAGGGGAGAGAGAGGGAGAGAGGGAGAGAAGAAGACAGATGGAAGGAAGGAGCGGAGGAAAAGAAAGAGAGGGATGCACAGAGGGTTCACCCACTTTTTAGGCTGGGACGCCAGTGCAGGCTGATGATGTAATCAAGGACAGAATCCTTACATACCAGACTTTCACTTATTATAAAAAAGCAGGTAGATGGGAATAGGGGCGTCGTTCCTCTCAAAAACTGCTTCCAGCTGACTTTTAGACGTCGCTTGGCTCTGGGGGGAATAGAGAAGGGGAGTTTTCCGAGGTAGACAGGCGTTGTGGAATGCTGTCTGTCATCCATTTGCTCTGGAGACATGTATCCCTCTTGGCTGTGGTTGGAAACTTTCTGTTTGATAAGATGCTGGTGACACAGAAAAAAGCTAATGATCTCTGGACTCCACTTCTGTGGTGAGCCTGTATCATTGGCTGAAGAGTGAGAACAGGGAACTGGGAAGAGAAAAGCTTGTGGTGCATGAGAATTTATTTATTTTTTTGGAATTAGAGACAAGGCAAAGATCAGGGCCCTGTCTGTATGCATATAAGAAACACAGGCAGTTTGAGAATGAGTGGGTGGAGTTAAGGTGAGTTAGGGCTAGTCATAGAAACCGCCCGAGCCCACCCATTTGAGCCCACCCACGGAAGTCAGACAGAAAAGGTTTCACGTGGCAGATGCAGAAGTGGGGAAGGAAAAGGGTTTATTTAGAACTTTAGCAGAAAGCTTGGAGATAAAGTCACTCTTATTTGCCCATTCTCTGGCAGAAGTTCCCACGACGCTGTTATGTGGCCAGGTTTATGCTGTTATGTGGCCAGATTTACCTGTGCCCGCCCCTGTCCGCCAATGTAGGTGGTAAATGTATCTGCCCCTTTGTCTCATGGCTGTAGCCGAGAGAAAAATAAAAAATTAAAATAACAAACCAGGATCAGACTCCAATCTCAGGCATCCCCGAGAGTGAAGAGAGATCTAAGAATCAGCTCAAATTCGCCATCCTCTTCGTCAAGTGATGGGAAGGGCTGTGGCTGCCCTGCAGTTGGTCCACTGTTGGACCCTAGACAGCATTGACACCCCCCCCCAGGAGCGAAAATGTGCCTCCCGTTGCCAGTACAGCCCGAGGACAACCCCCGGGGTGTCCATCGCAAAGAATATAGCTCAGACTACAGCAGAGAGAATGGCAGTAGTGGTAGCTGTGTAGGGTCCAGGGTAGGTCTTGCGGTCTCGCTGGATGGGGGAGGAGGCAGCAAGCGGCAGCAGTCACAGCAAGCCCTCGGTGTTTGGTGGTGTATCCCGAGTTTTGGCACCAATGTTGGTTATGCTGTGGCACTGCTCCTAGTGGCTGGCTGCTGCCCCACAGCGGCCATGCCGGTGGAGGAAAGTGCTGATTGGGCGGCCATGCTGACGACAGAGGGGAGTGCTGGAGGAGAGTCATGAGCCATAGTTACCTTTTTAGAGCTTTATTGGGAGAGAGGAGAGAGAGAGAGAGGGAGGGGGGGAGAAGAGAAGAAGGAGGTCCAGACAGAAGGAAGAAGTGGAAAGGAAAGAGAGAGACACACAGAGGGCCCACCCGCTTTTTAGGCTGGGACGCTGCCGCAAGCTGATGACTTAATTAAGGACAGATTCCTTACACATACCCCATCATTCCCACTGCTGGATTCCAGTATTACTCCCAGACATAACACTGCACTGGGTCCATTTCAGGAAAACTTTTAGAGAGACAGGGTTCTTTTAGGAGAATTTGTGGACAGTGATCAGTGAAGAATGGCTGGGGTGAGATTTGAAATGGCTGCCATGTTGAGGGGAGACCAAGTGCTCTTGTTTCTGCAGTGACAAGGTCCACATTGACAGGCTAAACATGGGTATTGCCTCTTGAACAGTAGGGCATAAGTTCAAACTGGATTCATGGTCACAGGTGACTCCCAGGAGTTCAAAGCAGAGGGACCAGTTGCTGATTGTCATTTCATTGTGATGAAGTACAGGGTGGGCTTGAGTTGCGAGCTAGAGCAGGCCTGTCTACTGCTCAGGCCTCAGGGAAGGACAGATCTAGGAGACAGAAGCATCATGGAGGACACTTGGATGGAGACAGACTTTATTGTTCCCCATCCCACAGTTCCACAACCAAGGATGTGTGATACAATCTTCTCTGTAGCTTTGTTTGGGCAAGTCCAAGGTGGCTTGGCCTTCTGGTTATTTGCTATGGCAGTTGCCACGGTTGTCACCCTCTCTGAGGCTTGGCCCATAGCTGGGATCATGACTTAGGCCATTGTCATATGAGGACACATTCTTATGGGTCTTCTTATGATCCGTTATCAATACCTTAACTAACAGGTCTACAAATTCATCAAAGCACAACTGACCATCTTTATCTGTGTCGAGATCTTCCATCATGTGATTCATGGCTTTTTTATCCTTTTTCTCTTTCTGTGGGCAGAAGGGAGATGGCTATTAGTGTTGGCCATGGGCACAGATGTTAACTAGGCAGCACTGTGAGTGATCAGATGGCAAATCCAGGGTATCAATTTAAACATAGAAATGATGAACTGAGTGTTCATGGTGGAAGCAATGCTGAGCTCATGTTGAACACTTTCCAGTTGGTTCCTGAGACAGTTCTCCACCTTGCACACTAGGACTGTTGTAGAAAAAAGGTCAGAGAAATGTATGTTTGTCTAGAAATGTTCCTCATTGGTCACTAGAAAAAGTGAGAATAAAAGCTGTTGTGAAGAGGATCTTAGGAGTCTGGCATCTGAAAAGTGGATGGGTGGTTTCTGTAGGTTGTGGAAATCATACAAATTAAGACCTGACTTGGAGGAATCTGTGCCTCCCTCCACTTAGTGGGCAGGCACTCAGGAAATCAAACTGCATGGGATCTTAGAAGGGTAGAGCATGGTAGGTGCTCTTCTGACCTCAAAGACTGTGACAAATTGTGGGGGAGATTCATGGGAAGTGGTAGGATCCAGGTGTAGCAGAGAGCACCAGCCAGCTGCAGATCTTCCACTCACTGGCTGGGATACCTTGGCTAAGCCCCTCCTATAACTCTGATTAGCATATTTTCAAGGGTAATAATTTCCCCTCTAACCCAATGCTTAGACCAGGGATGTTGAGAGAGGTGATAGAATGAATGGAGAGATAACACAGAGGGGAGACTTGTCTAGAGAGTTTCTTCTGTACCCCCTGTCTGCCTGGAAGCAGCATCTTGTTTGCCTGAGATCCTCACTTCAGAGAGGTCTCTTTGTCCCCAGTATCTCCCACAGTGGCAATGCTCTACTTTAACAGGGCCTCTAGGAGGGCTGCAGAGAAGTGTACACATCTAGGCATAAGAATCGACTGACCCAGGGCATGTGCCTTACTCATTTCCTTCCAGAATCTGTTTGCCATATTTGAAAAAAAGAACACAGAGGTTTCAGATTGAATTGCTTTAATTGCTCATCATCATTTTTCTTGAGCAGATGGAATTACTGACATTTGCTGGTGCTTTTTTCATGTGAGTGATATATTTAGTTCTCACCACAAGCTTCTGATTTTTGCTTCTTCTAACCTAGAGGCTCAGGTCTACTGTTAGTCCCCAGATAAAGCTTAGTGTCCTCCCTCAGCTTCTATTCAATGGACGTCCTCAAGTGTATCCATTACCTGTTATGAAGTCTCAGCTCAAACGTCACCACCTCAAAGTGAGAGGTCTCCCTACTTTACTCACCTCTGTTGCACCTGGCACAGACCAAACAGAGGACTCTATCTTATCTTTTTCCACACTCCCAGGCTATTGGGTTCATCAGCGTTCTTAATGTTGTGTGTCCACAATCAGTACAGTCACTTCCAGGTTTTCCTCTACCCGTGTCTTCCCAGAACAGAAGTTCAATTCCTGACTCTCAGTGTCTAACTTTGAGCACCTCCAGTGACTGAGCCCTTGCTGTCCTGTGTGGATGGTGTTGGAAATTTTCTCCCTGACTGTTACACACTGCACACTCCTCCCTTTCTAATCCAGTCTTACCTTGAAGGTGTTTGGCATATCCTTATTCAGCAACTGTTTGAATTCTTTCTGGCTCAGGGTGTCTGGATCTCCCTCCTTGCCAGAGTGCTTGTGGAAGGTTTTGATGATGGTCTCCATGCCTTGTTCCATCTGTGACATTGCAGGCTGTCTTTCTTGCAGTCTATTTGAATCCTGGAGAAGCAGAAGTGCATGTAAATACATGGTCTGTCAAGCATCCTTGATCTCATCTCTGGCCTCATGAGGCAAGAAATGGAGAGGACATACACAATAAAAGAAAGGACAGGGCGGCTCTCAGTGGGGCACCTGCCTGTCACACATGCATGAAAGATGAATATTAGAAAACATAGAGAATGGCAAAATTCAAGAATTTTATTGCAAGAAACTTTCAGAAAGTTGAAGGAGGCTGCAAAACTGTGAGGAGAAGGAAGGAGGATCCAATAGAATGTTTGGAAGAAAGACAGACAGCAAAGGAAAGAAAAAACTGAGAGGCAGCTCCTGCCTAGGAGAGCTGAGCTCACTTACTGAAGCTGGCGAGCCACAGTGTTGGGCAGAGTAGAGCTGGCCCCACATTTATAGGTAGCCCCTGGCTGACACATGTCTCCCCCACCCCAGGAAAGAATGCATCACAGATGAGTAGTGTGGTATTCCTGCAGGGGCTGTGAGTGGTTGAGGTAGGCTAGGAAGTGTTCACATAGCTCTGTGGATGGAAGGATGTAAATAATAGACTCGAAAATGGAGGTCAGTTTTCACCAACACGGTCCAAGATTTCAAATCCATTGGGGTCAGAATGCTGTAATCACAGAGAAGCTGCTGGGTACCCAGTGACTGAATCCCTTGGACTTGACTGCATTTTGATAAACTAGGACTACACTCATATACATGTCTCTAGTTTACATGACCCCACTTGCATGGTTGAGATTGCACACATAGAAAATACATTCATGATAACTCATACTGAGCAGAAGAATTGTGTGTCAGTCCATCAGGACTGTCTTCCTTTACATGATGTCAATTACATGCCAGTAAGCAACACACAAAGGCACTGACCCTAACCATAAAAGAACTTCTCTCAAATGGATACCCCAGCAGCTCATTTTCCTACATTGTGGGCACCTCTCTAATTCCTGACTCTCCACCAGCTTTCTTGTAGCACCTAACAGAATATTCTATGACTATACATTCATTATTTTTTACTATTATAAATATGCATATATCTAACCAACTCCATTGGAGCTCTGTAAGAGGAATAAGTAGAGAGCAGAGTCCATTTTTTACCTATTCCTCTGGACCCTCATGCTTGTCCTGCATTGGCTTGGATCCCTGAAGACTTCTGGCCGGGTAATCTCAGCATCACTGTAAAGTGTCTCTCTTTTCCAGATGCAATCTCACCCAGGACAGAAGTGTGAGAGCTCTCACAGGAATATACACTCTATAGCAGTGGTCCTCAACCCAAGAGTTGATCAACCCTTTCATATGGGCCGCATATCAGATATCTTGCAAATCACATATTTACATTACAACCTATAACAGCAACAAAATTATGATTATGGCATAGCCATGAAATTAATTCATAATTGGGGTCTCTAAACATGAGGAACTATACTAAAAGATCACAACTTTAGGATGTTTGAGAACTGTGGGGTATCAAAACAGGTTGATACACCCAGACCCAGGAGAAGCCATAAGCTGACCCCACCCAGGGAGGGCCTACATCTAAGGGGAAGTACCTGACATCCCAAACATTCCAACCTTTAGATAAGGTTAGATAATTGGCCAGATGTTCCTGAGTCTAGAACATACCTGTTTCTTTTTTACAGATACCCCTAGACAAATGTCAGCCAATCAGGGTCCTGAACCCTGGAAATACCTTCACCCCAACCTCTATTATCATAACAACTCTACCCTGCCTGAGCTCATGGCTCTCTGCTCTCAATGCTTCATCGGACAGACAGAGAGACCAACCTCAGAGCTTGAAAATAAAGGCCCTTTGCTATTATATATGAAAGTCTGTCTCCATGGTGGTCTTTTTGGGGTCCCCACAATAAGGGCATAACAATAAACACTGCTAGAAATAGGTCAGTTCTTCCTCTTTATTTTAATTTTTTAAATTAAATTTATTCTTCTCTCATACATTACATCCCAAACTCAGTTTCCCCCTCCCTCTACTCTTCCCAGTTCCAAACCACCCCTTGTCCTCTCCTTCAGATTCACTCCTCCTCTATTTCCCTTCAGGAAAGAGCACGTTTCCCAGAAATATCAACACAACAGGGCATAACAAGTTACATTTAATCCAACAGGATTTATTAATTGAGCATTTGTTATATATGTAATCACTTTATGGAGTAATCGATGTATTTTCCTGTAAAGGCAGCCTGATTCTGGGGGGATTAGTATTTACCTATAAATGTGACTCATGTAGTGAGTTTAACTATAATTCAGATAATTATGATGTTAAAATCTGGAGATAATTAAAACAGGACTACATATCAGCTGCCATGTATTATATAAATACTAGTCTAAACATTTTGAATTTGGTATATAGGATGGCTAATCTTTATTTTCAACCTAACTGAATTTAGACCACCTGAACACACAAGTCTATGAGGAATAATCTAGAATAGGTAATTGAGGTGGGATTCCTACCGTACTTTGGGGATCCTATTCCTGTGCTAGGATAAAGGCCTGGGATAAAGACAAAAAACTATCTGATCACTAGCTTTCCTTCATCTCTGATTCCTGACTAGGAGCAAAGTCACCAAATGCCTCATGCTCCTGACACCATGGTCTCCTTGCTATTATGGACTGATCCCTGAAACTCTGGGGCAAAACAAATCCTTCCTTAAGTTCCTTATTCAAATGTTTGGTAACAGCAGTGAGAATGGTAACTAAGGTAGCATCCAGTTTAAGTCATAAACACATTCTAAAGGAAGGCTAGGATTGTCTTCTATGAATGAAACAAACCTTCAAGTACTTGTGGTTATTTGAATATGAATCTATCCATAGGTTCCTATGCTTGAATGCTTAATCATCAGGGAGTGGCCATACTTGAGAAGGATCAGGAGGTGGGGCCCTGTTGCAGTAGGTGTGGCCTTGTTACAAGAAATATGTTGCTTAGGTGGAGCCTAGCCAGGCTCATTGTCATTCTTCTTGCTACCCATGGATCAGCATGTAGAACTCATAGCTATTGTTCCAGTACCATGTCTGCCTGTGTGTTGCTATGCTTCCCACCAAGATGATTTTAAACCTCTAAAACTGTAAGCAACCACCAACTAATGCTCTCATATATTAGATTTCCATGGTCATGGTGTCTTGTCCCAGCAATAAAACAGTGACTAGCCGGGTGGTGGTGGTGGCGGCGGCGGCAGCAACGGCGGCGGCGGCGGCGGCGGCGGCGGCGGCGCACGCCTTTAATCCCAGCACTCGGGAGGCAGAGCCAGGCAGATCTCTGTGAGTTCGAGGCCAGCCTGGTCTCCAAAGCAAGTTCCAGGAAAAGCGCAAAAATACACAGAGAAACCCTGTCTTGAAAAAAAAAACAAAAAAAAAAACAGTGACTAAGGCAAGACTGATGTGTGGAGTGTGACAGACACTGGTATGAGGCTAATTTGAATAGTGATTTGTCTGCTCCAGAGCAATGCCACAAAATAGCAAAGCTACTTCCATCCTCTAGCAAAGAGGACACTGGGAGCCTGTCTATCATTCAAGTCAAGGGCACTTGTCACTCAACAAAAGCACTTCTGGTAAGGGGAATAGAAACTTACTCTCATACTGGGAGGCCCAGGGCAATTAGAACAAGAAGCCTGGGCAGTATCTTCATGTGGTCCCAGGACACTGTCAGAGAGTAGGGTAAAAAACCTAGGTAGGCACTGACAACATGACCCTGCTCACTCTGGAAAGAGGCCTGCATGGCACCCGGTCTGTTCCCAAGGGCCAGCACCTGACTCAGAAATCTCAGGGTCACCTACACAGCTCAGAATCTCTATAAATGTGGAGAAGCTGATGTTCATGTCTAGCCAGCCTTCTACACAACAGCTATCTACTTCTAGAAAGTACACCTGGTCCCTTGTAGGCACTCTGGGCTAGTGGTAGGTCTTCCATAGGTGACAAATATAGCAGTATCTGAAATCCATTTGAAACAGCTGTGGGAGAAATCGAATGACATTCTCATTTCTAGTAGTAGAGTTTTGTGGTTAGCCTTCCCACAGTCCCTGGGGGAAAAAACCTGTTCAGCTTCATTTTCATAGCTGAGAGTAACTGGACTCAGATAGATGACTGACAAGAAGATGGAGATTGGGATTCACTCGCTTCACTGTATTTTTGTCAGATGTATGTGATACATCGAATTCAGCTCCTTATTCTTCAAGTACCACTGAAGAATGCTGAGTTCACCTGTTCTCTAATGAAAATGTGGATAACAATCAGCTTTTCCATTTACTGGTCACATCTTGTTTCCAAGTCTTTTGTGAGGACTCCTCAGACCTTTCATTAAGCCTCAAAGTGACCTGTGGGAATATGTACCCAAAAGTTTGAATCACATTCATGATATTCCCCCATTGCATAGAGAGAGAGAGTATCCCTCCTGCATACTAGATCTGACAAACTCCAGATCCTCTACCTGGAACCTTGATTCTGGCTTAGTTTCTGCTGATAGAGATTCCCAACATGGAAGCAAGGGATGAAGTACAGGACTGCTCCAGCTCCCCCAGATCCAGGAAACTTGTCAGCTTGTACAGGCTTAAAAGAACTACTTATTCGTGATCAGCATGAATTATGAACTTCCTGTGCTGCCAACCAAAGCACCAGTTTTCCCCAGCTGAGAACCTCTACGGGGGTTATTGAGGTATTGTGGAGTAGATACCACCCTCTTTGGTTTTGACACATAGGCATTTCCAGATGGAAAATTGTAGTACCACAGCTTACAATTTGAGCCCAGGGAAACTTCCTGGATCAACATAAGACATTGATTACCAAATAATGTATCAGATCTCATGTATTCAGGAAAACCATGTCCCTCACATCCAACAAAAGTGAGCCTATCATGTGGGGCAGGCACCTACTAAAATAAGTGTGTAAGGAAGTGTTCAATTTCTTCATCAAACAAATGAGAGGCAAGGAGCAACTTACCCAAGACAGAAGCCCTGCCAACTGACCTCCTTAAATCAAGGTCATCAAACAAGTAAAGGTCGATAAATCAAGCTACCTTCTGAAAACTACCAGAATCCATGTAAGTCTTGGTCATCAAGATGTTTGTATCTTGACGGTGTATGTGTATTCATGACACAAGTCATGCCCCAGTCTTGTCAGACTATACATCTGAGCCCTGAAAGATGAAAATCGGCCTGGTCTTGCAGACTGCTGAAATGATTACCTCCCTATCACCCCTACTTCAAATGCTGAACCGCCAGGACACATTGCAATGTATCTTGTATACACAATTAAATGTCTGTACAATAGGAAACATGAGACAAAAGGGTTCCAAGGCCTGGCAGAAATGGAAGAAACTGTGTAGAGGAAAGTCCTAAGCCAGCAGCTCAGGGAAGAG